GGGCACCACACAGAACTGATCTGCGGCGTCCGGGCCTCCGTGAGGGAGCTGAGCCCGCGGCCAGGAGAAGACACGGAGCGGCCTGCAGAGCGCGGCCATCGGAGTGAAAACCGGCGAGCGGGGCCTTGTCAGGGCTGCCGTGTTCTGCTCCGTGACAGAAGCCAAGGTCCCAGGCTGGGAAACACCGGCAAGCTCACATCTGGGCCCACACAGGGGCTCCCTGATTCCATTTGCTCGACGCCTGCGCCGGGAACACCAGTCCATGCAGACAGAGCCGGGCGGGAGGGGGCAGGAGGGGAGCCGGGCCGGTGCAAACACCCAGCAGCTCAGTCCTCACGCAGCCAGACAGACATATCAGCGAAGGCGGTGAGGACCAAGATCTGAACACGACGTCGCCTTCGCCTCTCCAGCTCCGCAGCCCCGGGCACGGTGACTCCGGGACACGGGACAGTGACCAACATTGTCCCTAAAGAAGATGACGCCCCCTGGTCCCAGCTCCGTTAGGTCAGGGATCGATAACAGAACCAAGTATCGGGCAGAAAGCCACCCCGTTAACAAGCACGCTCCCCACAGCCCGCGGCCGAGGAAGCGATCGCGCAGAAAGCGGCGCCTGCTGACGAAATGGGAACCGAACGCCCACATCAGCGCTCGGCCACGAGACTGAGGCTGCGTTCACGAAGGGAGTTTCTGCTGCAGGTGCGTCTATGGGGACAGTAAAGGCTGAGACCCAGAGAGAGGTGATGCGAGGAAGAGCCAAGTAAACGCACACCCCCCCCCCGGATAACAGGAAAATGATTTTTAATTCGATAAAGAGAATCACCCAAGCCCAACGTTTAAGACTCATAAGATCAATAAACAATGGGAGACGCGAGTCATAAAAATAAAAAAGGCATCAAAAAGCCGTAACGACAGGAAACCCCTTACTCAGATGCTTACAAACTGAGAGGCTATTATGAACTTCAGGGCAATAAACTAGGAATGGAGGGAAAATGGGCTGTTGTTAGAATCAAGGGCAAACGGAGGCCGGCCTTGGAAATGCCCTGAGCAGACAAACCGGGTTAGTCATCCCTGCAGAACCCCACGCCCGGCGGGTTCAGGGCAGGCTGCCCAAAACGTGCCGCTGCTGCTTATTGTGAGTTACATGACTTAGGAACCAGCCGGACTCATCGAGTCCACTCCGGGGATAGATCCGAAAGCCCCAGAGCACTCATTCGAAAGAATACAGGCACCTCTGTGCTCACAGCAGCCTCGCTTACAAAAGCCCAGGTGTGGAAGCGGCCCAAGTGCCCATCCGCAGGCGAGTGGGTAAAAGGCCGCGTCCATCACACAGCGGACACTGTGCGGCCGTAAAGAAGAAGGGACTCTTACTCTAGCGACAGCACGGACGGACCTGGAGAATGCTGTGCTGAGTGAAATCAGCCAGAGAAAGAGACACGTATGACGTCACTTACCTGTGGAATCTCATGAACAAAATAAACAAACAAAATAGAAGCAGACTCGGGGATACAGAGAACAGACCCACAGCTGTCAGAGGGGAGGCGGGTTCCGGGCTGGGTGAAAAGGGTGACGGGATTAAGGGGGAAAATTCAGACAGACAACAGTGTGGTGGTTACCAGAGGGAAAGGGGGTGGAGGAGGTAGGAGAAGGTGAAGGGGGATCAATGGTGAGGGAGGGAGACTCAGCCTGGGGTAGTGAACACACAGTACAACATACAGAGGATGAGCCACAGGATCGTGCCCCTGAAACCTGTCTAACTTTATTAACCAATGTCACCCCAATTTCAAAAAGGAACAGCCGGTGTCAGAGGACCCCTGACCCCTTCGATGCCCCTGCCCCAAGCAGGTAATACATCTCCCGCAGGCCAGGGGCCCACCCCAGACACGGGGTTTCGGGGCTGAGAATCAAACTAGAAATTAATAACAAAAAGGCAACTAGAAATTTCCTAAACGTCCAAGAAGTAAGCGGCCGGCTGTTGTTTTATCTAAGAAATGCGTATTACATCGATCGTTGTTGTTGTTGTTAACCCGCACCCGAGGGTGTTTTCCCAGTGACTTTTAGGGAGAGACAGAGAGAAACATCGATGTGAGAGAAACACATTGATCGGTTGACTCCTGCACGAGCCCTGACCAGCGCCAGGGCCCGAGGAGCCTGCAACCCAGGCACGTGCCCTTGACCGGAATCGAACCCGGGACCCTTTGGTCTTCAGGTCGATGCTCTATCCACTGAACCACACCGGCCAGGGCAGCAGCCCTCTTTTAAAATAAAACATGAATCAAAGCCAATTTCAAAATGATCTGAATTAAATGAGAATGAGAATGTGACCTATCAGAGCACCGCAACGCAGCTGCGTGGTGATCGGGGGGGAAGGGTACCGATTTAAGTGCGGAAGTTAGAAGAGAAACAAGCTGGACGTTATCTCAGCTGCCATCTCAAGAGGCTAGAAAGAGGCCAATTAAACAAGAAGAAGTAGGAGCTCAGCAACAATAAAAAGGTAAGGCTTCCATGAAATGAAAAGCAGGTGCACTCTAGAGAAGACAGGCAACGCCAAAAGTTGGATCTTTGCAGCATTTTTTAACGGATAAACCTCTCCACAGGCTGGTCACGAAGGGGAACACGGATTACCAGCAGCAAGAATGGAAGCGGGCGGCAGGACCGACGCACGGGATTAAATGATGACAGGATCCTATGAGCATCCGCATATCAGGAATTTGACAGCTCATGTCAAACGGGCTCAGCCAAACTGACATAACAGGAACCTGGACGGGCCTATTTCTGTTAAAGAGATTCCCAAGTGAAACAAGGTCTGGGAGGCATCACAGGTCAATTTTCCCAAATATTTAAGGGAAAAAATATACATAAAGAAGAAAAAAGCGGCCAAAAAAAGAAAAACGATTAAAAATTTTAAGAGATCTTATATAAAGCCTTTCATTGAATGGGAAAACCAGGCTCTTTTCAACAAGCCATAAGTTTAACACCCAAACCTGTCAAAAATGCTACAAGAAAGGAATAGTAAGGCCGATCTCACTCATAAAGAGACGCGAGTCCTGCCTGAGAGGCTCAGTTGGTTGAGCATCGTCCGGGGCTTAGGGCTCGATCCTCAGTAGGGGGCGTGCAGGAGGCAGCCCATGTATGTTTCGCACATTAATGTTTCTTTCTCTCTCTCCCACCCTCTTCCTCTCTCTCTCTCTCAAAAAAATTAATAATAATAAAAAAAGTAAACAAAAAATTTTTAGTCAAATCCAGCGACACATGAAACAAAACAGCAGGACCACGTGGAGTTTAGTCCATGAGTACAACGTTGATTTAATACTTGGCAATCCCTCAGCGTAACCCACCACACTCATAGCCGAAGGAGCGAGTCTGTGTGTTGCCGTCTCACTAGATGCAGAGGACAGTGTGTGGTACAATGTCAGAGCTGTTCGTTTGAGTCTCAGTGAACCGGGCGTAAAAGGGAACCGTCTTTAACGTGCGCAGCAATGTCATCCTTCGTGGTGAAACACTGAGCACCTTCCTTCCGCGTTTGGAAAAACACAACAGAAAGATGCCCACTCTCCCACCTGCATCCAACATTCTGTGGACAGAGCTGGCCAGAGCAATAAGACCAGAAAAAGAAATAAAACGATGGCGACGGGAAGGGTCTGCAGATGAGTGTGCACAAGCCCACAGGAATCTATCCGCTGTTGTAATCCGCAGGTGTGTCAGGAACGCCACCAAACGCCAAGTCAGTAAAACGAAATCAGCTGTTTTCCTAAACACCTAGAACCGCTTAGAAAATGACACCGGAACGTGTCGCCGCCACAGCACCACAAAGGTCTTGCGTCCCTGCCCCTGACACCGCCGGCTGGACGGTCGCGGGCGGGGAGACCGCCGTCACGGGGTGAGCTCTCGCCCAGACGGGCTGTAGTCTGTGCGGGCGCAGACCAACCGTTCGACCAGCACCCGCAGGGGGAGCAGCCAGGAGACCGGGCGGGGCG